TGTAACATGAGTACAACTTTTTTTTATAAAAATAAACCGACCTGAAAAGTTAGTTTCAAAGCCAAAGTCAATTAATCATTTATTCCATAGGTAAAATGTTTACACTTGAAAACATCATTTTTTAAGCTACTGCATGTCCACTGTGCCGACTTCTCTGAGAAGAACGGGCAAGAGACTAAAGATTGCACTTTTCAAATAAACTTAAATGCTATATATTTTGAATCATATTTGTGTGGAATCTAGACTCATGTTGTCTTTCCATACACCGTTATCTAACACATAGTCTACAATTTTGCAATATGACTATGCAATTGAAATATTTTTAATGTAAGTTTTAAACTTAGGAAACGGTAACCGTAAAATACGCCCAGGAATCTTATGAAACGTATACAGTTCCCCATAAAAGAGTCGTTTATTATTTAGTTAAACGAAATCGTGATACCATGGGTTTGGACTTAGTTCTAAATTTAATATTATGGATATCTTCTTTCTTATTGAAATTATGTATATTATCACGGGCATAATATTTGAATAAATGTACTGTGATGTCACAGTCATGATACCAGTCTACTTAAATTTATCTCTGAGAGATATCCGAGAACATTAATGGATATCACAGAACGAATCGCTCGTTTTTGCAACACAAATATGGTTTGCGTATCTGCCGCTTTACCCCACATGAGAATCCGTTTATCCGATGTCGTTCGTGTTCGTTACCGCGGTCTCCTCAACTATAATTAAAATACATATGGAAGTCTTCGTTCAAACGAATCACATGAGACCAAAGATAAGCTATCTGATGTACACTGTTGAGTAGTTCCTACCATCTGTCTGCCATTTTTATTATAGATCAGGTACAATTGGATTGTAATTAAACAAAAAAGATCCAATGCACATCCAGTCACTTTCGAGATATGGTAGTTTAAAGTTTAAGGGTCGTATTCTAGAACTCTACTCAATGCTCAAGTCAGGATTGCACTGGAAACACAAGCACTGGAAATACGACCCTAATGGCAGGGACTTGAGTATGATTTCGAGTGCTTTAAACGAAACTTAAATCCTGACTTGAGCATTGAGTAGAGTTCTACAATACGACCCTAAAAGTGTTTCTCACTCTTGTTTTATTTTCAAAACTTATAATGTCGTGTAACTCCAGAGATATTTATTTATGTTTATATATTGGATTTTTTTTGCTGATCTAAGAGGTTAGACTTTACGAACCGTTAGGTACATATAACTTATTTTTTGATAATTTTGTGGATTGGATCCTTTTTGTTTAACTATGTCCAATTTAACAATCTTAAATAGTAAGAAATGTACTCCATAAAACGAATAATGTGCATGGTACTCGGAAATTGAAATAATTCCTGAATTACTGAATGAATTGCCTGCGTGCATTCGAGATTCATATGTGGAGTGGAACTGTAAAAAACAAATCCATAACAGTTGCAGTGCCACTCAAAACTTTAAATTGCAAAGATCTTGCGCCCATCACCCTGAGATATAAGTTGACAAGCCCCATGTGCCTTTAATTTCACAAGCACCCTTACCCTTCAAAACCGGAACGCAATAATGCTGCTTGGCGACAGGTGCGGTGGCAGTAGGTACTACCCTGGACGAACTCCTTCACAAGGAGCTCTATTGCTACCTCCTCATATTTCATGAAGTTGGTTATTTAAAGTAAGTAAATCAGTAGGTACTTACCATGACGCAATATGGCAAGGTAGAAAATATTTTTCGGTATATAGGGCCTAAATATTTTTCTGCGAGCTCTCTTATTTTTCGTAATAAATTCAAAACTCCCTCTTTCCGTATTGTAATTCTGCAAAGTAACATTGTTACACCAAAAAGTATGTATTTACTCTCATATACTGCCACATTCAGTAGAATACTAGTAAAATCCTCAAAAGTTCAAAAGTCGGGTCTGCCATTTTATTTTATTTTTGAAAACAAAACTGCCCTTTTTGTCTTGTTGTAAGTCTGCCTTTTTTTTAAATTTGTTACTAATGCAGGTTTTGATGAAAAAAGCCGTGATAGCCTAATTTAATAAAATTAGTTACAAAAATAGTTATTTGGTTCTCATCGCAACATCTCTTATACCAAATGGTCGAAACACAAAAATGCGATGCGACGTCGTATCGCAGAAAGCTGCCAGTTCGCACGAAGCATCGTAAGAATTTGCGAATTGTTTCAAAATTTTTTAATTAAACTTCTTTGTGATTTTTCCTATACTTTCTTATCAATAACAGCAGTGCAAGAAACTCTAGGGGTTGTTCTTTTCAAATAAACTTGTGACGGTGTGACCTCCTTACATCGTCATCCCACCTTTTTATCGCCTTTCTCCGGTCCCTGGCCACCCGTTTTTTTTTAATCTTTATTTAAGGAGGGTTTTTTCTTGATTAGAAAATGTCACCCCCATAGTGACAGGCTCCATATACATCATCTACGGTCTTCGCTTAATTCCCACATCGACTAATCTATACAACAATTTTGCTTCCTTTGATCTAGGGGAAGATAAGAAAATGTTTCGGCTCCGTTCCGTACACACTCCGTCAAGATATGGTATACATCCTCCACTATGTCACATTCAGTGCAATTGGGGGATTGGACCTTTCTCATTAAGTATGAGAAGCTGTTTATAATAATAATAATAATAATAATAATAATTTATTCGCATTAAGTGTGGTGTACATAGTTGGCTTAATATATAATATTTCTATTAACAGGTTCTCACACTTAGCTGGTAATAGCGTGCAAATTTACTTTAAAATGAGTATATCTATCATAATTATTAAAATATCTTATACATTTAAAATAATAAGTCTCAATAATGTCAAATTTAAACAAATACCTAATTATTTTTGTAGTCAAAAAATTCTTCAATTGAGTAAAAACAACAGTTAGACAACCATTTGGATAACCTATTTCGGAACATTGTAATTGGCGTATTTTTTAAATCAATCGGTAGCGAATTATATATTTTGACACACATTGGTAAACAGTTACGACGATACACTTCTCTTTTTATGTTGACCGGTACAGTAAGTCTGTCCGGAAACCTCGTGTTATATAAAGGTTCATGTCGTTTGAATAGTGAATAATTTTGCTTGACGAAGGTACAGGCACTCAAAATATAAATACTAGGCACTGTTAATAAATTTAATTTCTTAAAAAGTGGTCTGCACGAAGTTATAGGTGAAATGTTGCAAATCGATCTGATGCTGCGCTTTTGAGATATAAGCACTCTGTCAATGTTATATGAATTGCCCCAGATCAAAATACCGTAAGCAATCACTGAAACAACATATCCATGATAAGCCTGAAGAGCAACAGTTTGGCTAACAGTTTTAGATAGACGCCAAAGAGCATACGAAAAACGGTCAATTTTAGTACATACTTGGTCAATGTGTGAAGTCCAGGAACATCTACTGTCTACAATGATACCAAGAAACTCTATCTCATCACTACTGTTGATTTTTTGGCTATTGTATGCAATGTTCAAATCTATACTCCTTGAGTTTACATTGCAGAAATTAATTGCCTTAGTTTTGCTTAGATTAACGTTTAAATTGTTCAATCGTAACCAATCAATTACATCAGCAACAGTTTTGTTTAACTCCAGATTATGAAATTCTCTGTCAACATTGGGAACCAGTACGGAAAGGTCGTCTGCATACAGTATGCATTTATGCTCTGTTATCGAAGGGAGATCATTAATATAGATCAAGAAAAGAAATGGGCCCAGGACGCTTCCTTGAGGGACACCCATGTTAATTTGCCGCGGTTTTGACCTAAATTTATTTGTATCCCGTTTCTGAGTTAGCCTTGTCACCTCTACACATTGCTGTCTATCCTTGATATAACTGTTCAACCATGCGAGAGCTGTACCTCGTATGCCGTAAAAATCACATTTGTCTAATAGTATGTTATGGGACACAAAATCAAACGCTTTGGTCATGTCAAAGAAAATTCCCGTTGTGAGTGTGCTATTATTTAAATTTTCGGTAATACTATTAACTAACTTAAAAGCAGCAGTAGTTGTCGATCTACCTTTCTGAAAGCCGTGTTGGTCAGCATTTAGTATACTGTATTTTTCAAAAAAGGCAGTAAGTCTAATGTGCATAGCTTTTTCAAAGACTTTGCTAAGTACAGGTATTAGAGCAATTGGACGATAGTTATTTATATCCTTTTTGTCACCTTTTTTGTGAATTGGCGTGATGACTGTAAACTTTAGTTTATGTGGAAACACTCCTTCTGTAAATGAAATATTAATCAAGTGACTCAAAATTGGGGCTATGGTAGAAGCGGTAAATTTAATTACAGAAGTAGGTATTTCATCATAACCAGACGATTTGGTGTTGTTTAAGGACTTTATAAGATTTAGAATTTCGTTTGGAGTACTAGGGTAAAGGAAAATGCTGTGCGGCAACCTGTTCATCCCATTGATAGTTGATTTATTTATCACATTATTATTTGTAAGTTTTGTAGTAGGTGTGTCTATTAGACGATTACTGAATGCTTCGGCTATGTCAGTAGGATCATTTAATATCGTGTCATTATGAATAATACTTTCAATTATTTTTTCACACACATTACTCGGTGAGTCACTCTTTATAATTTTCCAAGTAGCTTTGCAAATATTTTTTGAATTTTTTAGGTAAACATTGTTGGCAATTTTTTGAGATTTATTGATGCATTTTCTTAGAATTCGAGAATATTTTAAATATGTTGTTTTTGAGTCCTGAGTACGTTGTTTGTAATACTGATATCTCAACGTACGCTTGCTTTGACATGATTTTTTTATTCCCCGTGTAATCCATGCCAGGCCCTTAGCATTTAAATTAATCTTAATTTTACGTTTTGGAAAACATAGTTCAAAGAATAGATTAAACAAGTCGTAAAAACTATCAAAAGCAATGTTGAGACGAAACTCACTATAGACATCTGACCAGGTCAAGCTCTTCATGCATTCACCAAACTTTTGGAGATTTTCTTTACTGTAATCACGTTTGTAGACATAGCAGTACTCTAATGCAATTATATTATTGTTGGTCGTGAAGGTCAAGATTTGTGATTTGTCATGATCAGATAATCCCAGCATTGGGACTGTAATATTAGCATTTGGAATATTACTAATGATGTGATCTAAGCACGTTTTTTGCCTTGTGGGTTCGTTCACATGTAGACAAAAGTTGTAACTGTGTACGATCTGGTGTAATGAAATTGATTTATTAGTCTTTTTTAAAGTGTCAATATTTAAGTCTCCTGTTATAATTATTTTATACTTGTTAGTTTTAGTCTTCAACATGTCAAAAAGTAAGTCAAGTTTGTGTAAAAATATGTTAGGGTCAGATTTAGGAATTCTATATAAACATATAACAATGCACTTACAGTCGATCAACTCTATGCCACAGCCTTCAAAAACAAAATCTTCGGTAAGTGCGTCTAGCAATTGAATATCCTTGTATTTGATTTGATTTTTGCATAGAATACAGACTCCACCTCTACTCTTGTTTGGTCTACAATAAGAAGACGCAAGTCTAAAACCTTTAAGTGCAATATTACTCTCACGGCCCTTACGAATGAGTGTTTCACTTAAACATATTACGCTTAAATTAGTGCCGTTCTCTCGAAGCTGTTCTAGTACAACTTCTAGGTAATCTTTTTTTTTTAAGAAACTTTGGATATTCTGATGTAATATTGATACTTTATTGGAATTATTATTCTTCTCGAAAAAACTTACCGCATGAATGATTATACAACACAGGCTTAATATTTTTATCATTGGGAAGTGTAGTAAAAAAATCATTAATTTTTAGTTGTCTAAATGTTTTTTTAGTAGATATGCTATTCGTACAAGGAACATTTAGAGATGTTTTTGTTGTTGAGTATGATGCGTTAATTCTACGTTTACGAGTATTATAATTTAAAAATGTTACGTTATAATCTTTTGTATTTATACATTTATTTAATACATGTACCTTGTTCTCAGAACTTCTACACCTGGTCATATCAATATAACAACAGTTGTCAAAACAGGTTAACAATGTTTTTATAGAACTATTTAACATTTTTTCATTTAGATGTCGATTTTTTTCTATACTCGTGACAATTACATTTGTATTTGAGAGTTTACTAAGTGCTACTGTTAAGTCTGCGATTAATTTAGTAGGATTGCAGTCATTTGATCCAATAGATAACACTACATAATCATCCTTATTGACGACTTTTTCAATTGTAGGGCTTATTGCTACGACACATTTTGTAACGGCGTTAGGTTTGATACAGCCCGAGACAGTGTAATCGCGTACATTTTTGTGCTCTTTGGACCTAATTCTTATTAGATCGGCAGACCATCCTGATGCTTGTTGGTCTCCAAAAATATAAATGTGGTTCGATTTTTTAATATTTTTTGTGAAAAAATTTTCGTTTTTTGACGATTCCTTTCTGTTTTTAAGTTCATTTGACTCCAGGTTTGCTGTTTCTATTTGTTTGTTGAGTTCTCTCATTAATATTTCCATGTTTTGCAATTCCTTTTCTAAATCTTTAATTTTCTTTTGTAGATGTTTAACTTCAATATTCCTATCCACATTGGAGTCCGGTGTTTTTTGCAATAAAAGTGGTGTATTTACCAAATATTTATTTTTATTGTTTTTCGATGTAGATTTCTTCGCTGGTGGAGTTTGACATAAGTTTTTAAGTATTTCAATATCCGATGTTAGTTTCTGTATGTGTCTTTTTAATTCATTGTTTTCTATTATAGTATTGTCTAATTCGTTTTGTGTACTCATCAATTCTAATCCCAATTCCCTTATTTCTTCTTTCAGAATTTCTATACGCGTTGGATCGATGTTGTGAACTGTTGTGTGATCTAAGCTCCTAGATAATTTTTCAGGGGAACTCGCCTCACTGTCTAGTATTTGTGAATCGAAACTTCGCGAGGAACATTCTAACGGGAGAATAGGAGGGGTTGTGCTCCCATCGCAGACACTTTCTTTTAATATTGCTGCAGTTTCTACCTTCTTCGCTGCACGATCTGTTACCAAGCCTGTTTTGTGTACTTTTCTCCTCGTAGTTATATTAGATTGATCGCTGTCTGAAATGTTTAGTACCTTATTTGGGTGAATACACTGTTTACATTTCCAGTTTTTCCGTGAATCTTGTCTCATTAATCGGTACAGTTTCTCTGAAAATCCAGCACAGTCGAATTCATATGCTTTTTTACACATTGAGCAGATGATGGCATTTTTAGAGTCAATAATGGATTGACATTTGTGGCATGCTACTAGTGTCGCCATCTTACGGTCGCTGTTGGTACTGTTCGATACTTTCCTTGAGGACATAGTCTTTGAAATTAGTTCTATTTATTGTCGAAAGAAAATAATAATAATAAAAAACAAAATAAAAAAATAAAAAGTTGGATATTGATGAGTTCGAATAGATCTCATGGATTTGAACCCAAGATCATAAAACACTGAGCATAACTATCACAGTTGTTCTACCGTTGAACCAAGAACAGAATGACGTATTATGTTGAAATAGCAAGTCAAGTTATAAAAGTTATTTTGACTGTGACCGTTCGTCGTTATTGTCCGAGTCCAAAGGTCATTTTGTTAGTTCACTTACCAATACTTTGTTTAAAATGTTCGTTAAAAACTAAGATTTAAAATTACGCACTTCTTCACTTTTGTTTATTACTTTTAGCACTTCCTATAGTTTCCTCATAAAAATGAGTCTGTATTAATGGAGAATTTATTTAAATTAGTTGGTCAATTCTAATTGTAATACCTAAAAATATTAATGTTTCTGTATTTTAAAATAACATGGGTGAATCTTGTCACAAACACTGTCACACGCATATAATGTCCACTTAAAACTTTTGTACTGTTTCTGTAACGCTATTGATAAATTTACAATTTTAAATAAATAAAAAACACAGAGCGATGTGTACTTCGTCTGCCAGAGATGGCGCCTAGAGGCAGGTCTCCCGATCGGAACCGAAATGCTGTGATTAAATTTGCTCTGCACGTATCGGCACCGTCAAACCGTGGAGTCCGAAAGAGATAAGGCTGCAACGTTTTATACCAAATGCCTTTACTACGCGACCTCTCATCAAAATACTCTTTCCAGATGTGACTACACTGTTCTTTTGCCACTGTAAAATAATCAGAGTGATATGGTACACATCTCAAATTCTCCGCGTCTAACGAGGCTGCCTTCGCTTGACGGTCCACCTCTTCGTTGCCGGCGATGTCGATATGTGATGGTATCCATTGTAAAGTTATACAAAAATTAAGACTACGAAGTTCTAACAATAGGCGAATAATTGTATATGCCACCGGGAAGCCTCTAGCTCCTTGAGTACATTTAATCAAGTGTTGGAGAGCACTCTTTGAGTCCGTTAAATTACTATTTTTTTTGCAATCAATCGTTTTTACGTACGCAAGAGCTTCTACTATAGCAAAAAGTTCAGCTGACATTATTGACAAGTTTACAAAAAGGCTACTCCAATCGCCTGATTCTTTGAAACGTCTTTGAAAATTTTATAAAACTCACAATATTTTTCGGTCAAGAATTCCTCACACTTGCGTTGTAAACTAAACAAATTATAGGACCGCTTTGCTTTATACAAATAATGAATTTCGCATATTATGTTCCCTGTAAAATCTATATAGTCCATCGAAACATCCAACCCAAACGTCTCAAATATATCGCTACAATAAATTGGATAATCATTGAATTTTTCTAAAATATTAACTAGAAGAGATACCGTTTTTGTTCTCCAATACCTTCCAACAATTTTGGGGCGTATGTTATCTTTCAAGGGCTTAGATTTTAACCAAAATTTTACTCCTTAATAGTATCTACGGACATACAAAGGCGGTAAACATAATTCGTTCTCCATGACATGTATAGGTGTGCTCTTCACAAATCCCCCAATCAGTCTCATGGTACACTTATGAATTCGATCAAGTTTAAGAAAATGTACTTGGTGGCTGTTGTCATATAAAAGCTAGCGTAATCAATTCTACTTCTGATGATAGCAATGTATAGACGTCTTAAGTGTTTGGGTATACGCTCCACCCTAACCCTACTAAAACTCAATTCAATATTCTTTATTGCACAATAAACAAGCAAAAATACAAAACAATCAAAAATACAGTGTACAACAGGCGGCCTTATTGCTAAATAGCAATCTCTGCCAGGCAACCTTGGGGTGATAGGATAAACTAAAAGTAGTAATAATAATAGAGGGCGCAATAAATATGATATTATTATTAAACATCATAATATATGAATGAAATAAATAATAAATATCTACTAACATATAAATTACATAAATACTTAAATACTAATATAATACATACAAATAAATATATTATCACCACAGAAGAGGAAAATTAAAAATTAAAAACTTTAAACAAATTCAGAAATTTTAAAATCTTTTTCCTTGTCTCATGAATATGTTTGCCCCACTTAAGTGATCTATCTAACCATAACCCCAAACATTTGACTTGCTTCGCGGCTTCCAAATTTGTTTCCCAATTGATAACTTAATATTTTCTCTTCTGAATCCCCTCTTGAATAAACAAATTTTGCTTGTAACAAGTGATATCTCTAAACCAATTTCATTTAATGCCTCTGATAAGGAATCAAAAGATGCCTGTACATTTGTAGAAGCCTCTGCACTATTGTAGGTAGAGTAAACAACGTAATCGTCTGCATAGTGTGATACATATACATTATTTATCCTATTACAAATATGTATAGTAACTATGTTAAATAGCAGTGGTGACAGAGGGTCACCTTGAGTTAGTCCTCTATTAGTGTATCTACCAATACAATAATCATCTCCTTTGATTCTAAGATGTCTCTCGTTGAGAAAATTCCACAAGTACCTACAGATCCTTTCACCAACCATATAATGCTGCATTACAGATATCAACTTAGTGACCTCCACAATATTATACGCATTATCGATTTCTAAGAAGAATCCAATGGTGGGGAACTTTTTAGAAAAACCCAATTGTATCTTCGAAACTAAGTTGACCAGATCATCTAAACTTGAACGCCACCATATTTTCTGAAAATAATTTAGACTTCTCAAAAAACCATGAAATATTTTGCATAGACAGGACATTAACGAAATCGGTCGTAATGAGGAGGCAGAATCCGGATCTCTGCCTGGTTTAGGGATCGGTATTATTCCTAGTTCCCGCTATTGCAGAGGAACAAAGCTATTACTAAAAAACATATTGAATAGGTTTAACAAAATACGCCTTCCATTGTCGGGAATATGGGTAATCAAGGAGTATGAAATGTTCTCGCAGCCGAGTGAAGTGTCCTTGGTTTTGATACATTTTGTTAGTTCTGCTATTAAATCGACGTCCAATTTTGGATTACTAGAAGTAAAGGGGATGAGGTGAACTACAATAGTCATCAATCGCGTTTAATTTTGATCCCTTTACTAATTTTATAATCACTAGTAATCTAAATCATGTGCCAATTTTAATAAGTTTATAGCCACTACAGCCTTATCATGTACCTATGAATACGTATCTGTAATTCAGTATATCTCGGCCCTTTTGGGGTAAGTGTACTTAATATCTTTATATTCATCATCATCAAGTTAGGAAGTGTTTTATAATAATGTACCTGTTTTCTATATATACCTTTTATTGTTACAGCCTTACTTCTTTGTTACCTTTTCTTTCTTTAACCGACTTGAAATAAATTTGTGGACCTGAAGTTTTCTGTTTTACTGCCGTGAACCTGGTAACGGCTTGTTAGTGTTACAACCCTTTCACTGGCGCCCAAGGTGGGGCCAACTTTGGAACAGTTACAAACTTAGTATAATACATTTTGAATCATATTTGTGTGGAATCTAGACTCACGTTGTCTGTTCATATATCTTTATCTAACACGTAGTCTACAATTTGTAATACGACTTTTTAATTAAAAAACTGTAAGTTTTAAATTTAGAAAATGGTAAATGCTCCGGAATCTTAATGTAAAAACATATACAGTTAGTTAAACGAAAACGTGGTACCACGAGTTTGAACTTAGATCTAAGGTTAATATTATGGATATCTTCTTCCTTAACGAAATTAGAAGGGCATACAAAATATTTGAGTAAATGGACTGTGATGCCACAGGCATGATGTCAGTCTCCTTAAACTTTTCTCTGAGTGAAATCCGAGAACCTAAACGGTACACAGAACGAATCGCTCGTTTTTGCAACACAAATATGGTTTGTATATCTGCCGCTTTACCCCACGTGAGAATCCCGTAGGACATTATACTATGGAAGTAACTAAAGTAAACTAGCCTAGCAAAAAAATACGATCAGCATGGTTGATGATCGTCGAAAGGATGGTTACCCGAACCGTGGCAGTGAGATGCCTCGCCGCAAGAAATCGCATCGCAGCAATTCGCGTCGCAGTTTTCTGCGTTGCCAATTTTCTGACCCTAACTTACTTAGAATCCGATAAATAGTCATTGTCAGTGCTACGTTTATCGCGTATCACGGAGGTCTGCTCTAAATTGGTCGAACTTGCGTAGGTTCCGCAAATCTGAAATTCAAGATTTCATGTGTTTTAAGTTTGAGATTTAATGTGGATTGTCTCAACCACGGAAGAAAAAAAAACAATAGAAATGCTTTAAGCCTCCATTAGTATCAGAACCGTTGTCATATGTCACCAAACCTCACACATTCATAATTTGAAACCTTGTTAATTGAAAACATGAAATAAGACAAAAATAAATAAAAAGTACTATGTGAATTGTTGTAATTTAGATTAAATCAATATTTTGTTATTTTATCGCTTTTTAATATGACTTTTTCGTCGCCTTAGAGTAAACACGTCGCATACGCGTTATCACATAGTTCGTTTTTACTAATTTTTGTTGAAGAAAATCTTATAAAAATTTTGCTCAAATATATTATTAAAGTAATACATGAAAGAGGTATAATTTAACTAATTAAAATGTTAACTACATAGATGTATCTTCGTCGTGGAAAATTACATAGAAATCTCATACAGAGGTATTCACTCGAAGACGACGTTTTGTGGTATTTGAAGTTGGTAGAATTTTTTTTTTAAGTTTGTTTAATATTTACTTTTAATACATTTTAAATTTTTTGTTCATCTTAATATTTTTTTTGTTACAAGAAAGGAAAGAAAACCTTATACCGCTGCAATATGGTTGCCTCTTTTTTGGAGAACTAAGTAAACGTCTCGAATACATCTTCGTTCAGCTATTAACCACTAGATGGCAGCAAATTGACTGAAAGTTCAGTATAAAATCAAAACGTCGTTACGGGCAATAATATGTATTACACTTTCAACAATATACCACAAGGTAAATTTTAAATTGTATCAACAGTCCAGAATTTCTTATTTCTTTTAAATTTGAAACTAAGGTCAATCATTATTAAGATTTTATAGCGTTCAAATTATAAATGTGTGAGTTTTAGCGACAGCGGTCCTGATAGTACTCGATGCCTAAGGCACTTCCATTGCTTTTTTCAGTGACGAAGACCAGACTTTGGTGGAAGCATACTCTGCCTTTTGAGGAAAATGAACATTTCTATGATCATTCGGGCTGTACTTTGCGGAAATCCATGTTAATTTGCTACTTCGCAAACCTAGTGAAGGTTAGATCACGTAAAATAGCTGCGCTTGTGTTGAATATTTTGTTCATGCAGATAATTTTCCAACCCTACCTCCGCATAAACAGTGCGTATAAATCGTCTACCCTGGCGTTGGCAAACATGAAGGCCAAATAGAGTCTCGAACATATAATTGTATAAACTGGGTGAGGAGTTGTAGGCCTTCTGAGTAAAGCTAACCTACAGGTTGCTCGTGTAGAATGTCTGGCATATCTTTTGAAAAGCGTGACTTTAATTCCAGTTAGGGTCATGTATTTTTTTATTCCTTGTAAATTAGAATGAACATTGCACTCACCACGACCAAAAGCAGCGCCGCGGACGATTTCATTTTTGAATTCCTTAGCAGCCGTACTATTCTACAATCCTACGTTTTCTCATAAAAACACGTAATTTTACATTAGATATAGTATAAACACCGTGAAAATAGTTAATATATAGGGCGTTAGGTAAAAGACTACAAAGGGTTTAAAAAGTGTTTTTGGGTAAACTGTTTAGCATTTTATAGGAAAAACATAACTTTACACGGACTGCCTTAAGTCCTTTGAATTTTAAATTTCGAATAAAATTCAAAAGGCGCCCAGGAATGGCGCGCGGGGTGCGGGGGTATCACCAACGGTCTTTCGGAATCCAGTTGCCATGGAGCGCTTCACCGGAGCGGACCGTGCATTTTGTGTGAGTGAAATTTTTTCGCAACAATGATTCGGCCACCATTGCGCGGCGTAAATTTAGAGAGTATCGCAATTTACGCACGTTTAATGACTGTCCTAGTGTTCAAACGATTAAGAATTGGGTTCAAAAGTTCGAGGAGACTGGCTCTACATTGGATAAACAACGATCGGGCCGACCAAGGACATCACGGACGGAAGAAAACATCGACGTAGTACAAGAGTCAGTTCGTGAAAATCCTATTCAATCCATTCGTAAGCGTTCCAGTGCATTAAATATACCCAGATCGACGTTACAGCGCATTTTAAAGAATGATATGAAATTTCATCCATACAAAATTCAGTTAGTCAGCTCACTTTCACATCAACGGCCATGTCAATAGGCAAAATTGTCGCTACTGGAGTAGCGTAAACCCACGTTGCAAACATCAAAGGCCCTTACATAGCCCAAAAGTCACAGTTTGGGCGGCTATGTCAGCGCATGGCTTCATAGGCCCATACTTTTTTGAGAACGAACATGGTCGTGCGGTTACT